ATTTCATTTTTGTGTAAATTAGAAAACTGAGAGGGAACTCTTGTTTCATTGTTAGGTAGTGACTGGGGTGTTTATCTGAATTCTTTTATGTCCGCAAGCATTTGAGTACTTAGTATCATATACAGTGGCCTAGTGGGGAGTGAGTTGTGCTGCCAACCCAAAGGCAAAGTGTTCGAATCTATCAGACATGCCCTGGGAGAGAGTTGAGCAATCTCCTTCTGTTCAGTTGCCAGCCTCTGCAAACCCACTGGAAGGTCAGCTGAGTCATTTATGACTGAGGACAATGAGAAAGGAAGACAGACCATGGCATGAACTGGACTTGGGGCAGCCCAGATTTTTCTGTGTCGTACATCTTGACCTGCACCTTTCATGTTCACGAGGGCAGGGTTTTCAGATGACCATTCTACTTTGCCCCCAGTTCATCTTTGGGTGTCTCCAACTGTGCTGTTGTCGCATAGGGAGGTCAGTGTATACAGAAAAGTTCCACATATGAACCTAGTGCATGAGGTGTTTAGTTAGTTAGTTGCTAGGTAAGAAGACAGTTAATCATTTCACTTTGACAGTTTGCTGTGACATTACTAATTCTCATTGTTTTGCTTTCCCTCCATTTTAGCAAATTGATGGAGAAGCATTTCTGCTTATGACCCAAACGGACATAGTTAAAATAATGAGCATTAAACTGGGCCCTGCTCTCAAAATTTTCAATTCTATCCTGATGTTCAAAGCTGCAGAAAAGAACTCTTACAATGAACTTTGAAGATGGTGGATTCTGTGTAACCATCAGCTTTCCGCTTTAAAGCTCATGTTTTATTCAAAGCACAAGGACAGTTGTAAACTCTTCAGTGAGAAATCTCCAAAACTCAAAACAAGCAAGGCCATCGGATTATTTATATTTCTCAAGAGACAATGTATGAATTTTTCTGAAAATGCTTGAGCTTTTAAGCAAGTACTGTCTAACAACAGTCATCTTTTTGGTTCTGTTCACTGAGCTAAATTTATCTTTGTAAATCTTTTTGAGGCTGGGGGTGGGAGGAAAGGGGAACCTTCATTATTTATGGATAACGGGGAGCAGAATAAGACCTTTTGGCATTTTGTAAACATTGTTGAATTCTCTTTCATGTACACTGTTTCTTTTTCAATACTTGCAGGAACCTTTTTATATAATCAAAATTCAATTTAAACCAAATTAGTCAAAACCTGGCTAAGTTTAGCCAGTTGGGACTGTTACCTGTATTGTTCATTTTGTGCCATATTTTGAATTGCAACATTATGCTAAGTATAAATTTGCAAGTCATGATATTGCCTAACTGCTTGTAATAATTTGTTGGAACTGAATAGTTGTAAAAATTGCTTTTCTTTAAATCAGTGTTCTTACTTTTGCACGAATTATGAAATGTTACGCAAATTACTTTTTTCACCAGCATCTTTACTATAATTACCAAAAAAAGTGTATATAAAAGAATGAAATGGAAAAAAATAAACTCTATAAACAGAAATTAATTAGGTAATGTATTTGAATGGCATCAGTCTCCTACATCATGGTGCCCAGTATGTTTACGAGAATCAGATGGTGTCAAAGGAATATGCAGTTCCTTTCGGGGGAATGCTTGTAGAGATCGTGAACTATTTGTGAGATTATCTTGAGCTTTTCTCTTCCTGTCACTGATGTAACTGTGGTGCTTTACAAGAGATGAAGGGCTCAGCCTGCTCTTTACTAGTTTATAAAGAGCCGTCTCAGATCTTACAGTGTCGTCAAAGCCAAAAGGGTTTACTTCAGGGTTGGATAAAGAGAGAGTGGATACTATAGGTTTTACTGAAAAGGCAAGGTGTGAGGGAGTAACACCAGTAAACAAAGATGCTGACTGCTCACAGATAGAGAGGCAGTTTCCCAAAGCAATCATTCAAGTACCTCCATGTTGGAAGGATTCCTTTTTCTGTAGAACGCTTTGCCTCTATTTATAAGCGTACAGATGCACTTTAAATGAACACCCTCAATTACCTGTAAACTGAGCTGGTAGTGTTATGTTTTGTTTTTGTTTGCAAGATTGCATTTGCAAGGAAGAAAGTTAACTAGTTTCAGCAGCCTTTTAATGCAGTTTCTAATTCCAGGATTGGAAATTTATTGAAGGACTATTTCAAACCCTAGGACATAAGTTGTAGCATGCTTTCAGACTTCTGGGGAGGTTCCACCTGCTCTCTCTAGAGTGTTGCCAGTTTTTCTGATGTAGAATCCTTCGATCGCCCCAAGGTCTGTATGCCCATTGGAAGGCCATTAGCAGTCCTTTGCGTTTGCTGGAATTCCAGGTTGAACAGGGTCGGTGGCATCAACAGTGTCCCATTCATTTCTTTGCATGAAATATGTTTAATAAGTTTTTTGTTGTTTTTGCTTTTTTATGTTTTGTTCAAAATTTGTACATTCAAGTTGCACTTGTTATATCTGATATGAATGAAATAAAATCTTAATTGAATATGCTTTTCACTTTTGTATGATTTTTAGGAAAGCTTGTCAAATATTAAGAAATTCTCATTTTAGGCAAAAAATGAGAACAGGCACAATACTAATCAAGTGGATATTAGATGGCTCTGTCATGTGTCTGTTGGTTCCATGAAACATTTGTCAAACTTTGTCCCACATGAGACAGAGAACAACAAGAAAACGAATTTTATTTTAGAGCAGGTAGGATGCATGCCATTGCCCATCTTTCAAACCACCATATAGGTACCACCTTTGGATTAGCAGACTACCCCAACAGAGCTCCCTAACATGAGCGACACAAACACGCAAGATTCATGCACATTGGGGTTTTTCCTTTATAGTTTAATGTATGTGCTGTAGTTTAGTATATGTTATAATGAAATGGCTTGCTTTTTAAAATCCGACTGAAGGCTTCTGCTTTTTCCAAGTTCCATGTTTTTTGCATATAGAGAAATTCATTAAACTTTCTAAGATGCCACAAGGTTTAGTGTACCTCAAGAATTAGCACTCTTTTTTACTACTTTAAACCAACCCTGAAATAGAGTCTAAGGGTTTTGCTCTGGTTAGGGTGTTTTTTTATACTAGTTTATTTACAAAATTAGAATATATTGTTTTTCAGACCAGATTCTTCCAATTAGAGTAGTTTTAATAGAGGAAATAAAATTCATGACAGCACAGAGGTCACAGAAGTGATAGTAATAATCTTGAGGTAAGACAGGAGATATGGGGCATATGGAACTAATTAGATAGATCTTGTCTCATTTAAAGGAAGTGAGATAATTAAAAACATTATACAAGACAGTTGCCTTCTGGCATTTCATGGTATCTAGATTCCTTGGTTCTGTATATCTAGAATCTAGATATCAGTGTGCACAAGAGCAATGGTGTGATTTTAAAGACTGAGGTGTGCCTGATCTAAGCCATAGTATTTCCACTTGCTTCCTATGCATCTGAATAAAGATAATAGAAAAAGAACCAATGTTTTTTAATTGTGTTGGAGAAGAATACTGAATCTCCCATGCTCTTAAAAAAAACCCAAACAAGTCTATCTTGGAAAAATTCAAACAAGGTGGCTACGTAGAGGCTAGGATGGTGAAACTTCATCTCACATATGTTAGCCATGTTGTTCAGGAGGGGGCCATCCTTGGAAAAAACCAATCCTTCCTTTCTCCTTCGATCATAATGTTGACTCTTGGTCCTATGGTGAAGATGTTTGTTACTAACCAAAAAGTCAGCAGTTCCAACTCACCGGTCAGAACCAATAGAACGATGTGGCAGTCTGCTTCCCCAGAGATGATCTAACCAGGGTAACCCCATGGGGCAGCTCTCCTCCTCCCTAGGGTGGCTTTGAGTTGGAAGTGATTGAAATGGCAGTGGGCTTGGGTTAGAGCAAGCAAAGACTTGAAACCTTTCCTGTAATTTAAAAGCTGCACATACAAATGAAGGTGATTGTGATGATGAATTCATTATAAGCAAAGTGGATTCAATCCTTTGAAAGTGAAGGCAAGTTCATAGAACATTAAAGGGCTAGTACAAGTGGTCCATACGTCAGATATTCATAATCCAAGGACTTAAAGTTTTCTGGAACTTGCCCACCAGCACAAGCACTGCAGGCGCACAGAGCAGATAACAAATGCTGAAAATGAAGATGAAGAAAAACCAGAGGCCATGAGGGGATATCTGTGCCAGGTGATGACTGAATTTCAAAGGAGGGAAGCACAGAAGAGGGCAGTCACATCAGAAAACCAGCTAGATCAAAGAGGCCTCGAGAACGGAGAATAATGTAGTTTACTGAATCCAAAACAGGGGCCAAGCAGGTTCTACAGCTAACAGAGATCTGGAGTGTACACTCTTAAAACGTTCAACTCCAAACATTCCCAAGCATTGTTTAACCCAAAGAGAGAGCCCACACACTCCAAGATTGCAACTCTTTGTGGTCAGCTCTCCAAGTTTACATCTTTGTGGTCACAACCCAAAGGACTTGAGCAAATCTGAAAAGTGCTGCTGTTTCTTTTAGGTGCCGTCGCTATGACTCATAGCAACTAGGAGCAACAGATCTGAACCTTGCCCTCTCCGGCGGAGTCCTGTGGCAATCTGAAAGTTAGTGTCTTATGAAAACTAATGTGTCCAAATTGTAGCTGGGACCGTGGAATTTTTGGAATTCCAATCAATGGTTCCTTAATTAAGCAGTAAGTATTTGCACTGCTCGCCCCACAGCCACAACTCTCCATGAGTTCGAGTCCACCAGCAGCTCCACAGACGAAAGATGGGCACTCTCCTCCCTCCTCTGAGACTCACAGCCTCTGAAGACTGGCAGCAGGGTCAGCTCTGAGTTGGTTCTAACTCCACAGCAATGAGAGGTTTTTACTACAAAATTCAAGGAGAACTTGCACAGCTACATGCGGTGATACTGGCATTGCAATTTATTAACATCTTTAAGATGATTTCCCAATAACTGACATCTGCCACTCTAAATCAAAGCGTTTTTCATGCCATCTCAGCACCTGGTAATGCATTTTATTTGCTATTCAATGACCTGGTGCAGAAATCCTTTTTTATCCCATTCTGTGAGAAAGGGAAATTAGGGAAGATGCCTGTCAAAAATCAGAGTCTTTAGGAAGCGGAAGGTTCTGCACAATTTTCGTGGACACTTAATCTCAAACACATGAAAGGCAGCTATGAGCGCAGCCAAGGCCGTGACACAGTCAGCCGTCTTTGTGAGCTCCTCTTTCTCTACATACAAAGAAAACTCACAGTCATCAATGTCGAAGGGGTTTTTAACTTCTAACACAGGTGTCAACGCCTCCACCTGAAAGAAAAGATGAGCAGCGTCATTACCAGAGAACACTACAAGTTTAACTGAATAATAAAACATACTTGACCTTAACCACGTTATAATTGATGAGTTTGTTATAGCTTTGAAAATGTGACAAATAATTTTAAACATACCATCAACCTGAATGTAAATACACTATGAAAATGTGAAATCTGAAACTAAAAACTAGTGTTCATCGGGAAATTACATACCGTCTCATTCACAACAACAAAAAGGCTGGGATCATCCCCAAAAACATCTGGTAAGAGTAAACATGTGGCCGTCATCTTCATATCTGTGAAGGCAAACAACGTTGACGTTCTCAGGCAAAAAGAAGCATTGACCAACTGCTATAAACACCACTAGCATTAAATTCTTAGTTTTGATTGTTCATTACAGAGAACAAGGAAGCTTGGTGGTGCCATGGTTAATGGACTAGCTGCTAACTGAAAGACTAACATTTCAAACTCACCCAGCTTTGCCCTGGGATAAAGATCTGGTTATCTGCTCCCATAAAAATTGCAGCCTAAGCAAACCCTTTGGGAAAGTTCTGATCTATTTCATGGAGTCACTATTATTAAAAATTATTTTGACAACGGAGTATGTTATAGCATGTTTTCTCTCAGTTAGTCCGCGCCACTTAATTGGATTGAAGAAAGTGTCATCAATAACCTGTATCATGCAGATGACACAAATTTGCTCTCTGAAACTGAGGACGTAAAGCATGTGCTGTAGAAGGTCAGAGATTGCAGCCATCAATATAGACTACATCTCAACAACAAGAAAACTAAGATCCTTGCCACCAGGCCAATAGGCAGTATCATGATAACTGAAGAAAGGATTGAGGTTGTTGATGACACTCTTGACGACAGGAATCAGAAAATCAGAAGATAAGTTATATATATTGGAGAAATCTGCTGTCAAGGACCTCTCCAGATTGCTAAAGAGCAATGATGTCAGTCTAGAGACTGAGATGCACATGATCTAGGTCATGTTCTTCTCAATTGCTTGCTGTACATCTGAGAGCTGGACAGTGAAAAAGATGACAGAAGAAGAATCTTTGAGTTGTGGTGATGGGGAAAAGTATTGAACATACCATGGACAGCCAAAAGAAAAAACAGGTCTGTCCTGGGGAGGGTGAAACCAGTTTTCTCATTGGAAGCAAGAATTTAGAAGCTCTGACATACTCTGGACATGTTGCCAGGAGGGACCAGTCCGTGGAGAAGGACCGCATGTGTGGAAGCATAGGGGGTCAGCACAGAAGAGGAAAACTCTACATGAGATGGGTTGACATTGTGATAGGTAATGTGGGTAGGTGTGGCAATGGGGTCGAGTGTGTCAGAGATGGTAAGGTGGACTCAGGATAGGGCAAGGTTCAGAGCCATTCATTGTTTATAACGTCACTATGGATCATAGTCAACTCAACGGCACCTAATTACAGCTACCTTCTAACAAACATCAACAGTCTCATGTTCTGCCCTCAGAATCATTAATAAGAAAAATTAAGAATTCCATACTCTTAATCATGCAGTATACTATTTCTAGAACCGAGCTTTAGAGACTTAATCTTATAGAATACTATTTAGAGGATAAATTTTATATCAAGGCCAATTTTGCTTTGTTTTACTTCACTCACTCATTACTGTCAAGTCAGAACCAACTCATGCTGAGCCTCCAGTTGGTTTTCAGAGGCTGTAAACCACATGGGAGGAGACTGTCCATCTCTCTCTTGCTCAGTTGGTGGTGGATTCAAACCATCTGCCTTTCACTTGGCAACACAACTCTTCACTGCCTAGACCACCAGAGCTCCCACTGCTTGACTTGGTGATTTGTATTAGGAGTAAGTCTCTAGTTCCTTAAATATAATCTTAAAGTACAGAGTATGTTTTTACAACTTTACATACATCCCTTATTTGACAAATTCTTTTTTCCCCCATCAGTTCTTTCAGTGAATTTCACATTTTACCTAAATACAGAGCTTTCCCAAATTTCCTGAATTAAACACATGACTGAGACCAGGCCACCCTTACAGCAGGTTTACTAACGTTTCAACTTCTCTTCATCTGTGTACTGTGTCAGTTTTTCTTGCAAAGCAATATTGATTGGATTATACATTACTATATAAGAATTCAGTATATTTTCTGAATAGGATTCCAAAATGTGCTTCGTTTTCTTGTAAATATCTGTTCTTGTGAGCAGTTGGAATTCTCTGAACATCTGATAAAAGAAAATAAATCCATTTATATTAGATCACAAGTAAATAAATTAACGTAGAAGAATATAAAAAACTAAGACTATAAAAAGTTTTGGACTATAATAAACTTAAAATATATACTAAGAATTTTTATTAGCTTTGATGGGAAGTACAGACTTAGGATGGGGAAGGAGGACAGAATGAAAGCCAAAAGTGAATTAAAAAGGATAAATTACAGATATAAAAGTTGTTAAGTCCATGAAATTAAAACTTTATAGACTTAAGTAAATGAGAGGCCTGAAAGTATACATGCAGAGCTTGGCTATTTGGGCAAACCAGCTATTTTTTTTTTTTTTTTTCTGATACACCAATGGTTTTGGCTATCTACAATTAAAAGCAAATGAAGAAAACTATTAGATTTTATTAAATGTATCTTGAAAAATAAAATTATAATGGGAGAAGGAATAACTTCTAAAAATGTCAGACTAGAAGGAAAGAAATGATAAAATCCAAGCATGCATTGGAGAGCTGACTACAAGGTCAAAGCAAAACCACTCTACCTTTTGTATATCTCTCCACTCTAAATTATCTTTTTTCCCCCTTTGTGCGTATTCTTCCCCTCGGAGAAATCTATCCCTGTTGTTCATTCTCAATTGTTTTGTGTTTGTTTTTGGTTGGGGTTTTTTTTTTCTTTTGTTTTTTGGGTTTTTTTGCCAATGTTACCTTAGGCCATACCTACATTAGTATAAATTAACTTAGTTGATGTTTCCCTCCTAAAACTATCTCTGAAGAGCAGATACCACCCACCAAGCCTCACCATTCCTTGACTGTTTTAGTAGATCATAAATTTCTCAACAAATAGGTCCAAAAGTTATACTGCCAGGCTGGATCCACCTTCTCATAAAAGCGTCATTACTTAGTATCAAGCAATGCTCAGTGAAGCACTAATCTAGATTAATACTCTCCGAATGGGATTCTTTAAACCATTTCATGAGGTACTCATATGAAGAAAGCGAACACTTCCTATGTAACTAAGTGCACAGCCTAGACATTTTCTGAAATTTTAATTGGAAATAATGTCCACCTGACATTAAAATTGCCAAGATAATAAACAGATCACAAAAGCTCTCCACACTCCTTTTTCCAGTGCTCACATTTCTGATCTACTTTACATTAAGTCTGAAATAGGGCACTCCATTACCACTTAATACTTCACTGTGTACTTCTAAGTAGAAGGACACACTCCTACATAACTACAATATTTTAAAAAATCATAAAAATTAGGAAAATCTAATGCATAGATTCCATTCAAATGGACTAAGTCAGACAATATGCTTTATAGGTCAACAACCTAATCCATATGAGATTCCGCCATCATGTCTTTAATCTTGAGTCTGAAACAGCTCTCAGGTTCTTGTATGCTCACAATTTTGAAAAATAAAAGTCCCCTCTGGTGGCCTAGTGGTAAGGAGCTGTGTTGCCATCCCAAAGGCACACGGTTAGAATCCACCAGCTGCTCTGCGGGAGAAGAATGGGTAATCACCTCTCCTGAATTTAATGCCTCTGAAAACGCACTGGAGAGTTAGCTATGAGTTGGTTCCAACTCAGTGGTACACAACAACTTTGTAGAAAGCACTCATTCCTGGTTTGCCTAATGTTTCCTCATGATACAGACTTTTTGGGCAAGAATACCGTGGAATTGTTGACATTTCTGGCTGCACCGTAAGACACAAGGTGGGCAGTTTGACTCATTATTGGAAGATGACATGGATGCTAGAGAGCAAGTTAAAGGAAGGATGAAGACACAAGACTGCTAGTGTTACTGTGTGCCATACAGTCGACTACAACTCGTAGCAACCAGCTGGCTGAGCAGATCTGAACCCCTCCCTAATCCCCTTATCCTGTTCCACCCTCACTCACGATCTATGGCATGCTCGAGCCCATGTTACAGTCACCGTGTCACCCCATCTTGCTGAGGGTCAGCCTCTCTTTCTCTGATACTCTACCATTCTCACTATGATGTCTTTCCGAAGACTGGTCTTCTTGACATGCCTCTAAGGAACACCTTGGTGTCACTTGCTCCACGACAACTTTGTTTGTTTGGCAGTCCATGGAATGTTCAGGACTCTGCTCCAAAACCACAATTCAAAGGCATCTATTCTTCTGTCATCTTTATTCATTGTCCAACTTTCAGAAGCTTAGCAAGCATTGTAACTACTGTGGCATTACAGTCAACATTGAAATTAGGGCTTGGGTTTAAATTTCTGGAAATAATGGACTTCAGACTTGCCATTGTTCCTATGGGTCAAAATCAGCTTCCCTGCAACAGGTTTTATTCTTTGACTGCTCTTAGAAAGCTTGTGTAAGCATCGCTCACCTGTTTTACTCTTTAAACATCTGTAGGCAGCACTCTCACGAAGATCTCTATGGCTACAAATTCTGATTTCAGACTTTTTAAGGAAAACAATTTTTTAATGGAACCCCTTAAACTGTCATCAATTTTTCATCGAGTCAGAACCAACTCACAGCTGACCCTCTAACAGGTTTCCGAGGCTGTAAATGGCAGGGAAAGAGATTGGGCCTCTTCCCCACACATTGCTGCTGGTGGATTCAAACCATCAGAGAGGCACAATCTCTGGGTTACAGCACAGCTTTCTGTGGCTGTGTCTCCAGAGCTCTTCCATTTCATTACATATTAGAGCTGAACTTATATTACAGTTATGGTAAGACCTTTTGTTGTCCATTCCAAGTAAATTATATGGAAGGCATTTGATGCAACCATTTAATTTCATGTATTTTTAGGGCCATTACTGTAAAATTATTGAGGATCATAAAGGCATTTTAAGTACTATGTTTTCATATTGACATTTTAAGTATTATGTTGTAGGTTAACATCTTAACAATTAATAGTTCCGTAATCTATATGATCCTCTAAATGCATGCAAAGGGACACGTTAGCACTGTTTACGTAGCAATGGCTCTCTAACCTCCAGCTCAGGCCCAGTGATAGGAGACTCTGAAGACAGTCATTCTTTCTCTCTTCAGAATAATATGCTCCCTAAAGTTCTTACTGAATGTTGTACTGTGGGCTCACATACCCTACAAAAATGCACCTATAGAGTTTTATCGAAGAGTTCTGTTACCACTCTAAGAGGAAAAGGGGGTAAATGTTTGGACAGTATAATCAAAGAGGATGGTAAGTGAATTACGATACCTGATGAGGGCACTTTAAGAAGGGAAACAATTTAAGAATGTCCTTCAGAGGTGTTCTGCCATCTATTAACTTTCTTCTAAATTGCAGAGTTTGTTTCATCCTGCTGTCAATTTCTATCCAGTTCCTATCGGTTTTTGCATATTCTTGTTGGAACCAGCTAATATGTTCATTTACCTCAGAATCTACACAAGTGCCTTCTTCCTGCAAAATATTTTAAAAATATTAATATATTTCCTGTTTCAAATGATAGCTTGACACTTTGTACAAATTTAAATTACCAGACTGTTCTTACACACACCATGGATTATGAACAGAGTTCATTAAATCAGCCATTAATATAAAGGTTGAGGTTTCAAATATACTTAGAGCCTTCTTGGCAGAAATGTCTGGAGTTTACTTTTGAAAACTCAGGTTATTGAAAATAATACAAGCACAGTTCTATCCTGGCACATATGTTGTTACTATGCATTGAGAGTGACTCAATAACATCTAATTAGGTCTCTTTCATCATTGCACACTTTTAATGACTTATTCATACGGTAAGCATCACCATGGGCAGTCAGTCAACTTTACCCGTGGACATGAGAGGTACATGGACAGTCTTTAGAATAACAAACTGGTTAGTAACTTACAGTGAAATTATAATCTTCTTTTAACAAACCCAGGATATTTACTTTCTACTCACTTTTTTCTGTTATCTAAATGTGTTCTGTTGTACATACTAGGCATTGGTGAGATGAGATGGACTGGCATGGGACATTTTGAGTCGGATGACCATATGATATATTACTCGGGAGATGAAAAGGTGAGGAAAAATGGAGTTGCTTTCATAGTTAAAAAAGTCATTGCTAGATCCATCTTGAAGTACAATATTGTGAGTGGCAGGATAATAGCCATACGCATACAAGAAGACCAGTGAATACCACTATCATTCAGATATAT